AGCTTGAATTATGGAGATAAATTTAGTTTTAATGCTAGCATATTTTGAGATTCTTTCCAATGATGTTGACTTAATTTGGCGATCACATCTTGCCGATACATAGGATTCTAAAGGAGTAGAGCATTTGATAAATTACAAAAATACTCTGTTTATTCTTCCTTTAACAGAGTACATGGTAAGTGGAAGAGCAACCGAAAAGACGGATGTCTACAGTTTTGGAGTCTTGGTGCTTGAAGTCCTCAGTGGAAAGAGACCTACTGATGCATCATTCATTGAAAAGGGCCTCAACATCGTTGGCTGGGTATGTCTCACTTTTCCACTAAAGTGGCATAGGTTTATTTTTTCAATATTCCTTTTCTTGTTCAAAAAATGTGTCCATCTGTAAATAGGACGGCCTGTGTGTATGAAGAATAGTTGTTGGTGGAGGTTTGATGTTGGCATATGGAATTTCAACATAACAAGTCTCATGCGTTTCGGACACCAGAATCATTTGCATTTTGCCTTGCTCTTTTCACCAATTTCTACTTTCAATAAATGCAAATGACAACATTTGGCTCATTAATAGATGCATGTATCTCTCAACTCTAAGAATCGGGTTGTACTTCTCCTTCCCGGAACTGTAAAAGATGTGTAGATGGCTTCCTCAATCGAGGATATTTGTGTGTAGAGCTATTCATTTTGACTGGTTTGTTCTGTTTTATGCAGTTAAATTTCTTGATAACGGAGAATAGGCAGCGAGAGATTGTAGATCCAAATTGTGTGGGGATGCAGGAAGAAAGCCTCGATGCCTTGCTCAGTTTCCATCCAGTGTGTTTGTTCAAACCCAGAGGATAGACCCAGCATGCACCGGGTGGTTCAATTGCTCGAATCTGAGGTTATGACCCCATACCCGAGTGATTTCTACGATTCCAGCTCTGATTGAATAGCCAAAGCTAAAAACAAAGACGCATTTGGTTCACATTCACGTTCGTTCGTTATAAAGTAGTGCAAACAAGAAAACAAGCACCAAATGAGGGGGCCCGAAATCGGCAGCAGCGGCTTTCACTTATTCATTTCATTAAATTCTTTACGCAGATGGAATTTGGAAGGTACATTTGAACCTCAATCTGAGCTGTTGAATGGATGTGGATTTTAGGTGCATATATTAGTCCTTCATTTGGAATGGGTGAACATTTGGCGTTAGTCATTTTATTCATTCTAGTTTTGCTTTTATGAAATCAATATTGTTCGTCATTTTTTGTAAGATAAAATCTTCATTATTGCGGTAAGAAGTCATTTCTTTCAACTGATGACAGCAATTTATTTTATTTATTAAATAAAGAAAAAATGCATTAAATTTACAATCTCAAAAAGAAAAGTAATGGCAAAGCATGGCCATTCTTCGTTAATAAAGCCGAAAACCCAGGCTATTCTTCGTTCATTGACCATTCATTACCTTCACAATCTCATTGCTCCTCGTTGAACAAGGAAAAAGTGGACTGACCAAGTAATGAAGACCGGTCGAGCCTAGTCTTTTCGTCTTCCACTTCAGCATCACAAAGAAGCAGTCACGCCAATCGTACTTCGATCGGACTTACAGCGATATCCACCGAGAATCAACAACCAAAGCAAAAACTTCAAAACCATACACTTCGAGGACCGGGGAAAGGGGCCGAAACACGATCGACCACGAAAGTGTTGCAGCCGCAAAACGAAACCCGAATTCTGAGATGCTTTGGCCGTCTGCACTTTACGTGTTCCAAGGCTTGAGAAAACGTAAACATGTGAGATAAGAATGACCACTGTCACACTGCAACATGCGAGAAATAAAAGGCTTTGGAGATCTACTTGGTTAAAAACGTGATTATGGTGCATTTTAAGATACAAGATGCAAGTTGAAATATGTTATTACCCAAATACAACTTATGCCAATGCAACACGCAGCACAAGTGGTGAGGAAGAGTACGAGGGAAAGAAGGCATCCCAGGGCTTTATCGATTTGGTTTAGTTGGTTACTACAGCTGATTATATAAAGGCATGAAAAAGTTGTTACAATCTGTTATCTTCTCTCCCTCTCTAATTCTCTCTTTCAGTCTTCTCTTCTATTTCCTTCTCTATTGTTGTAATTCTCTTGTTCTTTAATGAACATCCAGCTTGAGTGCTTCCAATTTATATCATTGAGCAATTATTGACAGTGAATTCATCAAGTAATTTTAGTGGTTAAAGTGAATTCATTGATGACGCATACACATCTTGTAAACATAATTACTCGAACTCGAGATCTCTAGAAAGAATAACATTCTCTTTAACCACTGAAATTACTTGATGAATTCACTGTCAGTAAATTCTTAATGAGTTCATGCATTGACCCTTTGATTCATCATACATTTCATGTCCTTTGTTCAATGTGTTACCTTCTATTATTATTATTATCATGAAAATTTATTTCATAGCAGGTGGTGATAAATAATCATTTCGGTATGTTTATTTTTTTATTCGACTCGATTATACTTGAAATTACTTTCAGAATTCATGATAATTTAGAATAAAAAGTGACTCAGGATCTAAACCGAAACAATTGAATGGAAATGATTATACAAAAGATAAGTGCATTACATCACACACCGAGGTGGTTGTGGTATATGGTGAAAATCCATAGTGAAACCCCGAAAGCCATCTCTACTCTGATCCACCTCTTTGCCTTTTCTCCATCACTCTTGTCTGCAGCACTGCTACCGGAGGAGTTGCCTGCATTGATCAAAACTAACTCTCATATGAAACTGTGTTAAGGATTTTAATATAGATATAATGATAAACAAAATAGTCACATTAATCCTTATTTTTTGATACTTTGATTTTCAACGTTTTATTTTGAGGTAAAGTATTTAATGATTGGATGAAAATATGTTCAATAATTTAAAAGTTAATATTTTTACCGACGTGATAAGACTTATATGCCTAAAATGTTGACATACTATATGTCACGTGTATATGAGTGATGACATTACATGCATCACGTGTGTAAAATGATGATGTGAGACATATAATTTTGTATATGAGTGACTTGTGATAGTATGACACATATCACGTAAACATGAGTGATAATGTGTCATGTGTCACTTGTCACATATAAAAAATAATGATGTATTATATATTACTTTATCATTTGGGAATGTAAATTTTACCACGACAATAAACATGATGGATAGTTAGTTAATTAAGCATTTATATCTAAATGTGCATTCAATCTACTGTTATAATATAGATCTCGGATATTACCACCGGCTGTAGCTGCTGCCGGAGCACTGGGATGCCCCTCCGTCAACTTCTGATACCCTTCAAACAACTTGGCTTCCTGGGAATTGGGTTTCAAGTGCAGAAGAGCTGAATCGATCCCACCACACCCAAAATCAGTCCAAAAAGAGAACAAAAACAAACATGAAATGGAAACTAATATTCACACATTTTACTTACAGATGCAGTCCGTCATGTTGACAGGAGCTCGACAGGTAATAGGAAGTGTTAATGCAAGAGAAGCATTGATGTTGAGGCCAAGTTCGGGGTCATCCCTGTCCTTAATCAAAACACACAGGCATTTCTTGCTCTTGTCCAGCACCTGTTTCAGCCCACCGCAGCAATCTATGGTGGGGGTTTCGGCCTCTCCGCCTACGTAGGGGAGGCATGGAGCCAGCCCTACCAGCTGATCACTGCATTCCGTCTTGTCTTGGTTGATGTCGGAGGTTGATAAACCGAACATGACCGGAAGGAAGATTAGTGAGAGTGTCCACCAACTCGACTGCATGATTTTCTTTTTCCGGCCGGCGAGAAGATGAGAGGAAGAGACACGGTGAGGGAAAGTGGAAGGCTGTTCCCAAGGCCATTAGAGCATATATATATATATATATATATTCACATGTGATGGTGATAAGAATAAAAGTGGAAGACAATAGCTCTAATATAAGAGTGGATAAACTATCTAATTAGTCATTGAATTTTTAGTTTCTATATCAATTTGATTATTAACTTTAAAAAATTTCCATTTTAGCACTAAATTTTAAAACACTTCAATTTTAGTACTACACTTTTTACATTAGTTTTTTTTGTTATCGAATCCTTAAATTATTAACACTCAAATGATGTGGTAGTTTGATGAAGATGTTTGTTGACATTGAAGTTAATTTTTTATTTATTTCACATCCTCATCTTCTTCATGAAAATTAGGGTTTGTTTCGTCTATTTTTAATTGTCGAAAAATGTCAATTTTTCTGACCTTTTTTGTGACCACTTTAAACGTCAATGAACTCGTCTCATCATTCTCTACCATTATTGATTGAGATTTTAAGGGGTTTGATAACTTTCTTAGACTTAAAATATTTAGAGTGTTTGTTCAAAAATCCGATCGATAAGATGTATTTTTTAAGAAAATAAACATCATACCTCGAAATCGACCTCAATGGATGACCATCATAAGAGAACGAAGCTTTAGGAGGTCGAACCTTTAGATTATTTTTAATTATCATTTTTGAATGAGTTTCGTGAAAAATCAATCTAAGAAAAAAATGAGTAATCGGTACCAACAATTGAAGGAATTGGCTATTTTCTACAGGAAAATTTGGAAAGTAACAATCTTGTCATCATATAGTTAACGATTCAACAATCCAGTGACAAAAAAACTAGTTTTAAGAGTTTAATGTTAAAATTAAAATATTTTAAAATTTATTGACTGAATTGATATACAATTAAAATTAAGTGAATAATAAAATAATGCTCTATAATAATATATACACACAGACCTGATTAAAATAAATAAATAATGATTAAATAGAAAGAGCATAACTCAAACAATAAAATAGAATAAATTGTAGTGAACCCGTGAATGTTTTAAGGCAATCCGTGATCATTTGGGATCTGTCCGTGACTAAACACCAATTAGTTTAACTTAATGTGATAGGACCCCCAACTAATACAAGCAAAACTACAACTCAGTATGAATTTTTCTCTTTTAATAATTTAAATAATTAGAAGATAATATCTGTTTAAAAGACTTTTAATTATTTTGATAATAAATATTTAAATATTCATGCATTTGTTATGCTCGAACGTCCAGATCCAGACTTTTTATTCTTTGGAATCAACATAATTACCGACCAGAATAAGAGATTGTACCTATCTACCTCCACGGTCACCTCAAAAACTCTTCCTGCTTTTCAGGTTAAGTTCCAATGGGGAACTGCAATATCCAATCTGTAAAATGGTGTCTGATCAGCTATTACCTATCTGCAATTGCAAGCCCTTAAAATCTATATATATTATACCAATAACTTTGCCCGGCTGAGTGATTCTCTACAAGATGAAGCAGCTTTTCTTCATTCATTAGCTTTCATTTGTTCTTTGTTGGTTGTGCAGACGAAATCAAACATGGAAATCGATTAGTCGATGCAAGAAGAATATGCATAAACAAAACAATGATGTGCTGGAAAGAATATGCATAAATTGTTTTCCAGAAGCAATGCTAAGCATCAAATGCTACATCAACATTTTGGAGATTAATGCATGTTATATAGGGATATGTGCTGGGACTTGTGCACCAAGGGTTTAATATATAAATATATGTATGTATTTGTTTATAAAAAATAATATTGAGATGCACCCGAACCTCGAAAAGAATTTTCAAACTCTTTCAGTTGTAGGATGAAGCCAGGATTAGGAGCTGCCAATGGTCGTTTACTCCTCACATGTTCCAAGGCCTCTGATAAGCTCATACCGTGCTTTTTCATTAAGTAGGCAACGATGATGGTCACACTGCATGACATAACAAAGTCAGCACACAAAATGACTAATATGAGAAAAAGAATCAACAAGTTAAGAATCTAAGAGTTCAAAGGACTAAGGTGTAGCTTGAAAGAATATCTTTTTAAAATGTGTCGTTTAAGCATTGCAAAGCAGAGAAGAGAAGTTATATCACAAACTGTTGATCCTTGTAAAGTGTATAGATGTCATTTGGAAAACATACTTTTGTTGATAGGGCTTCTCACTGATGCAAATTATGACAACCCTGGATATTTAACTCTTTTTCCAAATTTAATTGTTAAAGTGCTTCTCAATCCGCCTTTACATGCTATCATCAACAAGACGAGCAAAGTAATCGGTACATTGCCGCTTTATACGGATTATATTCAATCGCAACTAAATCCTTTATTCATGATTTAAACCAGAGACCTGAAGGCAAGTAGACCTGGGCTGCCGCCTCACTAAAAGGCACACTTAGACATGCTGATCATGTGCCTGGTCGAATATGACTCACCAAAAAGGATTTGAGGCAATTTTATTGTCTGGTGCTACTATGCATGCCTTAACAACAGTGGATATAAGTAAGGAAAGTTGGCAACACAATAAAGAAGTGTAGATATCAAACACAAGACATGTTAAACACAAAAAAATAAAAGAACTGTAGGAACCATCATACCAGAAAGAACACAAGATCAGTAGCAACATTACCTTCTTGATTTTCCAACAAAGCAGTGAACCAATACACCGCCACCTTGTCTTCTTGCTTCATCAATGAAATTGAAGCATTCATCAAAATACTGACTTATGTTTGTGTCTTCTTTGTCCGCGACTGTTCAAGGGTGGGGGGTGATTGTAAGAGTTATCGCTAAATGCCACTTTTGCATACTCAGTAGGGCTTATAACATTAATAATAATAAGAAACTATAGCAGCAGGATACACATCAGATTAAGGTATTAAAAAACTTATTCTATGGAAGGAAAAAATCATAATGCTGCAGAGGAAGGGGATGCTTGAGAATAGAGAGCAAACAGTTTAATATGTGGAGATTAGCATAAAATTGTAACTCAAGGATAACTTGTCACAATCTTAGTTTTCTTTTTTTTGATTTCTATAGATTATCCCTTCTTCTAATCCCACATCACTAATTTCTAAAACACAAAATTCCTGCAAAGCTAAAGAACACAAACTGCACATCGTTTAAGCAATGGCAGACAAATGAAGTTACAATGGCAAGGAAATCTGAGCATGAAAATTTCCAGATTTACGATAGTCAATATGTTAGTTCAATCATACAACAGCATAAAGGAGAACAAACCACCTGGTATAACTTTGTACACAAAGTCAGTGGTATGCGCAGGTTTCAGGGAACTAGCCACAGTTAAGATGTGAGTGACATTTAAACGTTTAAGCGCATCCACGTTATTAGAAGCTGCAATAGAACCCAAAAAGAGACCCTGATAAATTGAAAGCAAAAGAAACAACACAAATCTTCAGAAATGATCGGGCGGATAAACGAAATAAAAGAGCAGACGACGAAACCATGTTTATTACCTCTTCAATTACAGATGGAACAGTGTCTTTGAAAGTTCGTCTGAAATTTACAACTCGCAGAAGAGCTGCTATTTGCTTTCGCATAGAATCATCAATATGACTCATTGCAAAAAAGGAATTAGATCAAATCTCCTCAATATTTTTCTCCTTCAAAAACAGGCATAGAACAACCATAAATTACATGTTCCAATAACCCTAACTGGAAACAGGCATCCTAGCAAAATTTCAATAACAAGGAAAACAAACGTACTCAAAGATGAAGCAAATTAAGCAGCGTTAACATGTCATATTCACATACAAACGCAATTTCAAAAAACTTTCTGAATCAAAAGATCAAAATCAATAAATGGTTTTGTGCAAGAAATTATTAACCAAAGCAAGAAGTGTTCCAAAAATATACCACCCGAATAAATATTTATTCATCATCAGATTCCCAATAAACTATAGATTAACAAGATTAAAATCAATTAAAATCCAAACCAAATTTCAAGTGCTTCTCCTACTTCCAAAATAAAACCAACAATAATTGCATTGGGCATAAAGTTTTCTCTTTAAATTAAATTATTGAAAATAATCAAAATGATTTTACCTCTAAAGATGTGTATCCCCTGCGATTTCAGAGGAAATAGTGAAGAAGAAAATAGTTGGTGATGACCTGAAAAACATGTAAATGGTAGAAAACTCCGAAAGAAAGGCTTGGGCCGACTAAAACGTTGCGTTAAACTTACAAGGTTTTTAAGTTCAAATAGTCCCCTTCCATTCTATTGAAAATCATTATCAAATAATTTTTTTAATCATAGGAAAAATGTTTTTTATTTGAAAAATCATTATCAAATAAATCTAAAACGTTAATAATCATAATTTTCTATTTGTATTAAAAAATTAAAATATCAATTGATTTGATCTTCTTTGATTTTTTATTTATACATTATCTCAACTAATTTAGTTAAATATATCATTATCTCAATTTTTTTAAATACACGATATTATCTTAATTTAATTTCTTTTAAATAGTTTAAAATGATTATAATATTATATATATTTAAAATCTCTTTGATTTTTTTTTATTCTTAAACTAATTATATGATGACACATGTCATTGTTTGAATATTTTTAATTAATATAATTAAAGATAATCATATCATATTAATTTAAATTTAAAAATGTTGATTTGGTAAGTTGTTCACGTGATAAATCATTATGTGTATGAATGTTTGTTGACGTATTTTTTAAGATGTGGATGTGTTGTGTTATTATTTTGTCTGCATGTACATATTAAGTTAATTTTATATATTGATCGTGTGTTAACTAACGACTTTTATGTATCGATGAATCATTTATCTCATAAAAAAGGGTGAAGGTTAAAATACTTGTATATGAAAGAATTTAAAATGGCAACGTAGTCAGACGTGTACAATCGTCCTCGTCCAGTCGTCTTAAAAAAACCAACAACCCAATCCAAACCATAAAAACGCCCAAACTGTTACCAAAATGCATACCATCACTAAAACCCTCTTCTAATAATTCTCATCACCTTCTCGGATCCGTCTCTAAAACCCCACCCCAAATTCCCTCATGTTTCGTAGATTCTCCACGGCTCTCTTTCACACCAAACACCCCCCATTTCCCCTTCCCCCCAAACCCATCTTCACTGCCCTCCAAACCCTTCCCAAAGGTCTCCTCTTCACTTCCACCATTAAAATGGCCGATACCCACAAGTCCCATTCTTTCCCTTCCCTCGAAAAAGCCTCAAAACCCGAGTTACTCCGTGCTCTCGAGTCTTCTCTAGGTACATCTTTCAGCTCCGACTCGATTCTCCCCACCCCAAACCCTTTAATCCTCGTTATAAGCGGTCCGAGTGGTGTTGGCAAAGATGCTGTCATCAAAAGGCTGAGAGAAGTCAGGGAGAATCTCCATTTCGTTGTTACTTCCACGAGTAGAACGATGAGGCCCGGTGAGGTTGATGGTAAAGATTACATTTTTGTGTCAAAGGAAGAGTTTTTATCAATGGTTAAAAAAGATGAACTCTTAGAGTATGCTATGGTTTATGGGGATTATAAAGGGATACCCAAGAAGCAGATAAGGGAATTCATGGGGAAAGGGTGTGATATTGTTTTGAGGGTCGATATTCAAGGGGCTGAAACATTGAGGAGGATCCTTGGGGATTCTGGGGTGTTTATATTTCTGGTGGCTGAGAGTGAATTAGCACTTGTTGAGAGGCTGATTGAGAGGAAGACTGAGAGTAAAGAGGAATTGCTTGTGAGGATTGCTACTGCTAGAGAAGAGGTCAAGCTTGTTAATAGGTTTGATTATGTTGTTATTAATGCTCAAGGGAAGCTTGAGGTGGCTGTGGATTTGGTGGGGTCTATTATTGATGCTGAGAAGGCTAAGGTTAGGCAAAGGACTCCATTCATTTGAGGTATTTTTTCGATTTCTTGTCTAGTTTTGTATTATTAGGAATCATTGATGCTGTGGATTTGACTGCATTCTGAGATAGATATTGTTGGGTGCAGGATAACTATGCATTTAAGGTCTTCAATTGTGAGCTTATTACGCTGTGAAGATTTTCATATTTTGGCTAGATTTTTCTTTATTCATGGTTACATCTAGACAATTTTAGAGGATACTATTTGAAGCCTTATCATCTTTAGTTCCATTTGAAGTTTATGCAAGGAGGATACCTGTCAATCCATGTATTTGTTCCTATATTCTCATGTCATAACCGTGTTTAAGGTGTTACATATTTATATGTTATTTAGATATGATAATAATTCCTGTTATATAGATTTGTTTATGTTTGTGTCATTTTTATCCTTCGTAGAAGGTTGCTATCTCTAGAGTGCATGGTTTTGCGGTCACAGCTTGTTTTATATGGACTTTTAAGTGCTTGTAGTGAAAATTTCATTTGTGATGCTGTTAATTAGCTAATAGAATGACACTTGATCTTTCTGTAAGCAACTACTTCTATCGTGGATTAAGATCTTTGTAGCGGGCTTGATATAAAAGCTCAAATTCAACTTTTTAGAAGGTTTATTTACAATTCAAGAGTTTATGTTATCCGGACTTGAGAGTGAGTGTTGGATGCAGTAATGCTCAGGGTTTCTTTTTAAGTTTTCCATGTATTTGGAGAATCATACTCGCACGTATGAATACGTGTAGGACACAAGTGCGGGGCACGTTATGTTGAGACAAGTGAAGAGCTCAGATTAATATATTGCTGTCTAGTGTCTAGAAAATTATCAGTTGCCTTCCCTTTAGCTCTCTTCCACATTTTTCTGACCTGCATCCATTGAATGTGCCCTTACTGACCTAAAATTTTATTTGAAAAAGTGCAGAAAATTGATCGATGAATCTGTTAGTCTTTAAATGAAACTGCTGCATCTTTTTCTTGATTTCCCCCTCAACTTGGTATATTTATCTCCTGCTTGCACTAGCTTAAGTAACAAAATCACTCCTCTTATTGCCTGCAGTTTAGCAGTGCGAGTAAAGCCGGTTGATTTCATGTGTTCCCCCCCCCATATTCTCCACTCGTTGCTCGTCGTATTTCTGATTGGGCCCTCACATCAGCGTTGTTTGTACTTGAGGAATCGGTGATATCAAGCCAGGTTATTTTTAAGTAGTTAACTTTGTAGTTTTGTTGATTCTGAACTATTGAAGTCTAAACCCACATTTCTCCGACTCGGGTATAGTTAGATTTTCCAAGTCTTTACGCATATTCGGAGGGTCCTTTGAGGTCACATTATGCCGGACTTGAGTATTAGTAACATGTAGAGCCAGGGCAACATAGGTTGAAGCTAAGAGATTTTGTGAAGTTTATCAACTCTGATACTATATCTCTTTGCTTTTTGTTTCCATCACTTAAATGATGGATCTTGGATTGTTAGCAACTTTTTTTTGTCCCCTCTCAAATAATCTTAAGATGGCTGACAATGCTAGCCAATAAGGATGAAGCGCATGGTAGATGATGTCGTTTTCATTTTTTCCACCGATTTTTTTAGATGAATCGAAACAAAATGATAATTTATCAAAGTGGATAAAAAAACAAATTTGGTATAATTCAAGGATTAAACTGTAAATAAAGCCATGTAATTACTACAAAGCTCACAGCAATAAACAACCCTTCAAGGCTTGAGAGACGAAAGAACATGAGTTTGCTGGTGTTTCTATTTTAGTCACTCAATTTTAAAAAACTTCAATTTGATTACTCAACTTCAGAATTACTCTTATTTTGATCACTTGTTAGTTATGACATGAAATCTTTTTAAAAATTATTGAAAGGTTCGAATGTAATCTTGTTTTTTCGTGAACCCCCCACTAAAATCATACTATTTTTTTCATATATAGATATATATATATATATTAATGTTGGAGTAACTTTCCAAATCACAACGGTGATGAAGGCAAGACAAACTATATATTCTGATTTTACGTTGATCAAACATTGAAGATTGTTGGTTATAGTTTTTTTTTTCCTTTTTGGATGTTGGGTTGAATTTTACGAGTTTTAAAGTGATATTTAAAAAATAATAATGTGATAGAGTAATAAGAGATCATACGATGAGCTCATCTGTCTTAAATGATGAGAAGAAACGTTGAAGAATGTTGGGTTCGGCAACCCATTGGCATTTAAGAGTTTCACTTCTATGGAAAAGAAGAAGAAAACATAGGGAGACAAAATGTGACTTCCACGCAAACAAAAACAAATCATCCATTGCATCTTGTTGCCTCAAATATAGCGCTTGAGTCATGAGCAAATCAAAAGTTTAATAATAAAATTATTGTTTAAAAAAGTTGAATGACTAAAATAGGAACATGGACAAAGTTGAGTGATGAAAACCATAGTTTACTCTTTTTCCACAACACGACAGTTGGAACGAGGGAACTGATTCCAGGGATCGACCCTGAGATCAATTTTGGCATTGATCTCCTCCACACAATTCAGTAAAACATAAACAGAAAACTTCATCTCCAGGAAGTAATTTAATCATGAACCAATAAAAGAATCAGATTCATACTTGTTTCCTTGTAGACCCATCTGTCATCCTGCAACTTAATTATCTGATTAAACAAACATCAAATCGCCAGGAACAACAACCTGAGAGAAAATCATTGCCACTAATTTCATAAAACATCTTTGTAATTATTAAAACAAACAAAACAAACAGATAAATAAAGGGTCATTGGTGTCATCTCCATAGCCACTACGTCTAAGTTTGTAAAGATTAAACCAAGGGATCTTCAACATGTGCACAAGCTGACACATATTCCTTCATTATCCAGTGGTCCCAAAAGTCCAGAAACACATAGATTCTCCAAGTTTTTAGAGTTGATGATTAGAGTTACAGACTTCTAATTTGATGCTTCATTAAGAAATTCGAGTCTAATAGAGTTGGATTATATAACGAATTCTTGGTGCACAGGAATCATAATGATTACTGTCTCAAATGGCATAGTGCTCCAGCTACATTCTATAATTGAGTCTATCATGTATCCATGGAAGTTTTATGAGGTTGAGGTTGAGACTTAGACTTGATAGAAAAGGAAGAGAGAGACATACCTTATCTGAAAGTTTTCATTTTCAAGTATATAGTCCAAGCAAAAGCTTCTCTTGGCGGCATTAAAAGAGACCATTAACCATTTTCCTCCACTCATAAACACTACCCCTATCTGCTTACCGAAAGCCAACATCTCTTTTTCTTCCTATTTGCACCATAAAACAACCCTACTTGGTCTTTCATTCTCTACATCCACAGGCGAATCCCTCATCGGCACGACATAGTTTATTGATCCCCGTCAGACCATTTTCAGGCAGTTGTTAGGTTAGTTCCCAGTGATTCTCATTGTCAAGTCTTTATTCTTTAGTAATGTTTCATTGGGGTTCATAATTTAGAAATCCATGTGCTAGACGTTAGTGAAGTAAGTGCTATCGAAATTTGATGTTTATAGTGCATGCCATTTACATCCTTACTATTACTACAATTGAAGTGCGTGTTCAAGATTTGGAGCTGTTTGTTGTTATGCTTGTTTTGATTTCCCAGTTAAGGGGAGAATGGCACAGATTTTGGCACCTTCAACTCAATGGCAGATGAAAGTACCAAAGAGCTCCACCTTTGGCAGTCCCATTGCAACAAAGATGTGGAGTTCTTTGTTTCTGAAACAGAACATGCATGGAACAACCAAATCAACAGGTAAATTTAGAGTGCTCGCCTTGCAGTCCGATAACATCACTGTCAACAGGGTAGAACAGCTACTAAATATGGACGTCTCTCCATGCACCGACAAGATCATTGCCGAATATATCTGGTATATTGTCTTTCTTATCACATTCATATGTTTTGTCCCAACCGGTTTGTTCGACCACCGATACAAGTTAGCATATAGCAGGTTTGGGACAAATTTGCTTGTCATCGTATCTGAATCACTGTTCTTTCATTACTGAAACAGGATAGGAGGCAGTGGAATCGACATGCGGAGCAAGTCCAGGGTAAGAAACAAGTTACCATAACTAAAATTTTTTGTAATTTTTCAATTTATAGTGTTCAGTTTTTTGTGGTTTCTTATGTTTCTTGCAGACAATTGCAAAGCAAGTTGAACATCCATCTGAACTTCCCAAGTGGAACTATGACGGATCTAGCACCGGACAAGCACCCGGTGATGATAGTGAAGTTATTCTATAGTAACAAACCTCTAAAACAAATCTAGAATTTTGTTTATTTTTATTTTATCATCGAAATATCATTTTTGACTGAACTTCATCCAGCCCTCAAGCAATTTTTAAGGACCCTTTCCGGGGAGGTAACAACATTTTGGTGAGTATTGTGTTATAAAAGATATTGAGTTCTGCAAGTAAGTTATATAGTGTGGATAATATCTTCTTCATGTACTTTTACGAAGGTGATTTGCGATGCATACACACCGGCCGGAGAGCCCATTCCCACGAACAAGCGCCACAAAGCTGCTGAGATTTTCAGTAACAAGAAGGTGGTAGATGAAGTACCATGGTACGGAGTCGATCATCTCATTCTTCTAATTAAATTTGCAGCAAAGATTCAGAAGTTTCTTAAAAAATGTTCCTTTTAGGTTTGGGATTGAGCAAGAGTACACCTTACTTCAACAAAATGTGAAATGGCCTTTGGGTTGGCCTGTTGGAGGCTACCCTGGTCCTCAGGTAATATATTCATGGTGTATATAATATAGTTTTGCATGCCCTTACATGAACATAGATATGGTCCTTTGATGCCAAATCAGGGTCCTTATTACTGTGGAGCTGGAGCCGACAAGTCATTCGGGCGTGACATCTCCGATGCTCATTACAAGGCTTGCTTATATGCCGGTATTAACATCAGTGGAACCAATGGGGAGGTTATGCCAGGCCAGGTCCGCTGTTTTCGAGGCCCTTTGCACCGTTGCTTTCGTGCTTGTTTGTTAATTAGTTATCACCATCTGGTTCTGTAAATCACGATGCAGTGGGAGTATCAAGTTGGTCCAAGTGTCGGCATTGAAGCTGGAGATCATATCTGGTGTTCCAGATACATTCTCGAGGTATTTATTCTAGATACGATTAGGAACCATTAAGTAAACTCACCTCGGAGTCCAAATCACTGAACAACTCACCAATGATTTCCACTATTCCTACAGAGAATCACTGAACAAGCCGGTGTTGTTCTCTCTCTCGATCCTAAGCCTATAGAGGTAATACTACATCCGGGATGCTCTCGATTTGTACTATTAGTCCATATCAGAACCGGTTTCTCAGTTCTCGTTCATGTTCGCTAGGGTGACTGGAATGGTGCCGGATGCCACACCAATTACAGTACTAAGAGCATGAGGGAAGAGGGAGGCTTTGAAGTTATAAAGAAAGCAATCTTGAATTTGTCGCTCCGCCATAAGGAGCATATCAGTGCCTATGGTGAAGGAAATGAGAGAAGATTGACAGGGAAGCATGAAACAGCCAGCATTGACACCTTTTCTTGGGTATGCTTGATGAACATAGATGCTTTTTTCTTTACTTGTATATCAAGTTTTGTTAAATTTCATCTTGCAGGGAGTGGCTAACCGTGGTTGTTCGATCCGAGTCGGACGTGACACTGAGAAGAATGGAAAAGGTAACAATTCCTTCGAACTAGAATCATATAGGTTAAAGGAAAACGTAATAACAAGTGTTGTTCTTTCTTTCCCTGTTGATTGACTAGGTTACTTGGAAGATCGGCGTCCGGCTTCGAACATGGACCCGTATGTTGTAACAGGGTTGCTAGCAGAAACTACAATATTGTATGAACCAACACTTGAAGCTGAAGCACTTTCTGCTCAGAAGATTGCTTTGAAGGTCTAAATAAACCAATTTGGTGTATACTATCTATATTCAACTCATTTAAATGGATGGTTTTTGCCCTTTTTTTCTACTTAGGCTTGTAGGGTATATCCCTGTAAATAAAGGGTCCTAAGATGAGTTGCGTTGTGAGAATTAAGAATTAAGGACTGTCTTTTAAACTCTAACAAATACGTACTTTAAATAAAAGAATATTTATATTTTCTTTGTATTGTTGTGTTTTTCCTCCAGATTAATCCGTGTAAGATACTTAATTTTAGTGACGAATCTCCCAATGAAGATTTTTTGAATGCATAAGGCCTCGAATTCGAGACATACTTACCTCTTTGATTCTCTTTATTATGATTTATCTTTGATGTTAGAATCTTTAGAAATGACCGTCCAGCTCAGTTGGTAGAGCACAAGGTTCTTAACCTTGCGATCATGAGATCGAGTCCCACGGAGGGCATTTCATAATTCGGAGGTCTCATATGGAAGCTGCTCTCAATCTGGTATTGGGGGCAGCCTACTATCCTACCTCCACTTATCCCATTACATATGGGAAAAATGGTCAACTAATTTTTTTTATGGTAGAATCTTGTTTGACTTCTTATTTATTCAATCTTCTAAGTATAATTAATGATGATCATTTTATTTGAATTAAGAGAATTGTCCGTCTAGCTCAGTTGGTATAGCACAAGGCTATTAATCTTGTGGTCGTGGGATCGAGTCTCACTGAAGGCAATTCATAACGGAGGTCTTCTACGGAAGCTGCTCTCAACCTGGGGGCAACCTACTACCCTACCTCCCCTTACCTATGGGAATAGGGTCAACTAGCTATTTTATTTGAATTAAGGAATTTTGACCAGATTCGTTTTAATTGGATCAGTTTTTTATTTAAAAAAATTCAATTACAATGTTATTGGGTTCATTCGAATTTTGATAAAAAAAACTTGATCTAATCCGATATAATTTATAATTATTCTTTATATTTAAAGAAATTTATAATAATATCTTTTTAATTAATTTTTTAATTAGACTCGTATGTTGTGTGTGTCCAATTTATTGGAAAAGTTATATTAAATATTTAATTAATATTAATTTTGATCTTTATCGTTACATCTTCTCTTTTATGAATGTTTATGTCAATTTTATAATGTAACGAATTTATTTTATTTAAAAATATATTTTATAAATGAAATGTTGAAATGAATTGTATACAAATTTATATTTTATTAAATATTAAAGTAATTATTATAATTAAAAATATTTTCTATTTGTCTTGAATTAGTATTCGGATAATCTTAGCTAACTAGAATAAAGAATTTATAATAACTATAGATGTTATTAAGCTTCTTTTTTGGATATTAATTAAGCTACGATACATCTTTTAAGTACATTATTGTTCTCACTAACTGAGTCATTAATTCATGTTTGACAGGTTTTTCATGAAAATGATTATCCTTCTAATCTTTTCCATGATGATGGAGACCAACACAGAGTCAACTCAGTTCACATCCGAGTCCGAGGCCGACTCATCCCAGAGGAAGATGAAGAAGGACCCATCCCCTTGGCAATATCTCTAAGAACAAACTTCTGAATCTTCCCCGTCGAAGTCTTGGGCAATTCGTCCTTAAACACCACCGTTTTGGGCACCATGTAATGAGGCAATTTAGCTCTGCAATACTGAACTATGTCCTGCTCACTCGGTTTACGGGTCAACTCACCTTTCAAACTCACGAACGCGCAAGGTGTCTCCCCCCAATACTCATCGGGCCGAGCCACAACTGCCGCTTCGTTGATCGCCGGATGAGTATAAAGAACAGACTCGACTTCGACGCTGCTGAGATTCTCTCCGCCGCTGATTATAACATCCTTTGAACGATCTTTGATTTCCATGTACCCATCGGCATGCATAACGCCGACGTCGCCGGTGTAAAACCACCCGTTTTCTTTCATACATTTTTTCGTGGCGACTGGGTCTTTGAAGTAACCCAACATAACGCTAGCACCTTTTAAAACGATCTCTCCAAGAGTTAACCCGTCGCGTTTCACACTGAGTCCCGATTTGGGATCCACAACGTCCGCTTCCGTCAACGCCAGAGTTCTCACTCCTTGCCTCGATTTCAACCTCGCTCGCTCCGTCGCCGGCAACTTGTTCCACTCCCTTTTCCAAGCACAAGACACCACCAGCCCTGCAGTCTCGGTTAATCCGTAGCCGTGACTCACAATGAAACCAAGTGACTCGGTCCTCGATAGCACAGCCGCTGGCGGTGGAGCTCCGGCAGTTAAGATTTTCACGGGATTCTCGAGTGGCTTGATTTCAGGGGAACTCGATAACATGTTGAGCACAACGGGTGCTCCGCACATGTGATTGACGCCATGTTTTTTTATCAAATTATAGATGATCGAGGTATCGAATTTCGGAACACAAACATTGGTGCCGCCGACGGCCGCCATACCCCAAGGGTAGCTCCACCCATTAGCATGAAAAATCGGGAGCGTCCATAAGTAAACGGGTTGCTTCGGAACTTCCCAATCGATTAAAGAATCGATTGTTATCGTGAAAATTCCCCGGTGACTATGAACAACTCCTTTGGGAGACGAAGTAGTACCCGATGTATAATTCAAAACAATCGGATCCCACTCGCTTTTAGGCCGGATCCATTTGAAATTCGGATCACCTTTCTCCACCAGGCTCTCGTACGTGCACCAGAAGCGATAATCGACGGCAGCGTCATCGTGATCGTTGATATAAACGAGCTGCGGCGGCGTTTGGTTATGGGGGAAGAGAGAGATGGCTTCGAGAGCGACAGAACAAGAGAGGGTATCGACGAAGAGGACCTTCGGTTCACAGTGGCGGAGCAGTACGGAGATCGTACGGCCGTCGAGACGGGTATTGATGTTGTTGAGAATAGCACCGGACATGGGGACGGCGAATTGGAGCTCGTACATGGCGGGGATGTTGTGGGCCAAAACGGATACGGCGTGGCCAATACCAACGCCGCTGGATGATAGGGAAGAGGCTAACTGGAGGCATCGACGGTGGGTTTGTGACCACGTGAAGGAAGTATCGTTGTAAATGATGGATGTACAATCGCCGTACACGGTGGCCGCTCTTTCTAAGAAGCCTAATGGGGTGAAAGGAGAGCAACTTGCAGGCCTTGGCTTTAGCTCTTCCATGATATTCTATCTTGTCTGAAAGCGTTAAATTAATGGCTGTCTTCCTCTCATGAGTTGTGTTTCGGTTACTGTCTCTGTGGGGATTGGACTATCTCGGGAACGACAACGAGGAGTTTTACAAGTACAAGTAAACCAATTATCTGTATTTATATAAAATTTTAAGTTGTAATTATTATGTAAACACATGAATTTGATTTAATTAATATTAAACATTTTAATTTATTTTTAATCTATTATGCTGTCTACAGTAAATTGAAAGTTGTTAGATTATACATTGGGAGTGTTGGCAAATAACTTAGAGCTAATAGTTTGTAGTTGAATTCAGTAGTTGATTTGATCAATTAATTTGATTAATTGATTTGAAAATTTGATTTGATTAATTATTTATATAGAAATATTTAGTAAAATTTAGCTAATACTTTATAGTTGATATGGGTAAAATGATAAATAAGGATATGATACATTTAGTTGTTAAGTACATATATGTTGGGTGAAATTATTCGGGTGAAATTATTCGGATAAAATACTTTTGATAATAAATTGAAAATTAAGAAAATTAGTAAATATTTTTAAAAATTTTAAATATTTTTTTAAAATTTAATATTTACAAATATTAACATTGTGATGTTGATATATACTATTAACATTATATAAAATATCAACATTACATTTAACTTTTACTTTTATATTTTGCTATATTTTCTTAACTAAAATATATTTGAGAATATACAACTAAAAAATATAATAATAAAATAAAGTTTCACTAATTTATCACTAGACGTTGCATAAAATTAATTTTACATAAGTTCATTGAAAATAAATTTAGATTATATAAATATTAAAGAAAGAAATACATATCCAAACAATTATAAACAAATAGGAATATTTAAGAAATATAGATGGAAATAATAAGGTTTTATGATAAAGATGTAATTATGAAAATAATAATGTCAAATATATCACTTAACATCTTATTTTGCAATCAACTCTCTCAAACCGTTATATTTTCTAGAATTTTCATTTTAAGATTATTTTATACAATTAATTCTTTCAAAATGTGTTTACCAAATAATAAAAATAGAGAGTTGGACTATCAAACAACTATTTATGCAAAAGTAAATTAAAAATTCTTCAAAAAATTATTTACCAAACACCCTTACATCTTTACTGTTCATGCAATTATTTTATAGTTAAAAATTAAGATGATAGAAATACACTCCATTTTCACTATTTTTTTAATTTTAAATTCTCATCTATAGTAAATACGTTAGAATTACACTCCATCTTCACTATTCAATTTTTCCTTTTAATTTTAAACTTCCATCTACCCCTAATCCAACTTCACTATTTATATTTTTTATTATTACTAGAGTGAAGTAGGTATATCTACATATGGAAGTGAATCATGTAATTGTTAAAGTTTCAAGTTGAATTATGTTAATCCATGTCAAATAAGATACAAGTTATATCAGGTTAATTTAATAATTTGGCTCAAATCAGGTTGAGTCCGGGTTAACTAAGGTTTTAATTATTTTTAGGTTGATTTAAAATTAAATTCAGTTCGGATTTTGATCAGGTTAATTTCAGTTTGAATCAATATTAATTTATGTCAAAATAATTAGTGTGTGAATCAGTTCAATATCATGTTAATTCAGGTCAGATTTCATTTAGATTAGGTCAATTCATTAACGGGTAAAATTTTGGTCGGATCTTACCAGGTACAGATGAACTTCAGATCATGTCATTTTATATTAAATATATTTAGTCTAATCTCGCCTTTAAAATAAATTTGAAAATTTGAATAAATTCTTATTGAATCATAATCGAATCAAATGATAAATTACAAAATAAATGCAAAATGTATGTGAGCCCCCTATACTTTTAAAAAAAATCAATGTGACCCTCGTCTTTTTTGTACATTCAATGTGGCCCTCAAACTTAGAAAATAAACACAGTGTGACATTTTGACCAACAATTTCCATCGTTAACCGTTACTGATAAGGAATGCGGCAGGGGATGATGATGATGGATATATAGTTATCTTACAAACCCTCATAGCCGTAATCGACTAGGCAAACTCGATAATCAACTCTAACTATACCTCCTAATCACTATGAGAAGACAAACCAGAGTGTGAATATCTATCTCACAAAAACTTGAAAGAACGTAATGAAAGAAGCTTCTAAGGCACAAGACAATCAACACTTGTAAAAAAAAAACTCTCGTTGTATTATTAATCAAAGAAATTTGTCTTTTCAAAGTTGAATGAATCCTCATTTTATGTAGGGTGAGTAGTCATTGTTGTAACATGACTAATGAATATAAATAATGTTTTGATTCTATCATAATTCTTAATAAAATAATAATAAAATAATAATAATAATTTAACTCAATCTTAATTCATAATAAAATAATAAATCTAACCCTAAAAAATAATGCATCATCATATATTAAATAATATTACAAATAATTAATAAAAAAATATTAAAAAATCGTAATATTTATAAAATATCGTATATAAATTTCCACATATGTTTTCTTCAGTAAAATGAGCATATATTGAGTTTCCGATATCGGATTGATTCGATTCAAAAACCGTTTGAAAGCTAAGAGACAATCGATCATATTTGTAGAGAAATGTTGATCAAATAAGATCATGATCCCATTCAAAAGCAGTTGCAAGTATGTTGTTATGTTATTCTTCTTTTTCAAGGCTTATTCGTGTGGATCAATTGGAAGTGCTAGTCTATCTTCCTTTGATGTGAGTCTTATGATGCATGTATCATTTATGGTGCTGACGTGGCAGTCTACAGTGCCTTGTGACGTGGTAGATGATATTGCAAATTGGATAAATTGACTTTTTATTGATTTCAAGGGTCAAATTGGGTTTTTTAAGTTCAAGGGCTTATTTGGTTTTTCATAAAAAAAATTTTATATTTTATATTTAAAATATCAAATATAGAAAAAATTAAATATAAAAAAAATTACTCAAAAAATTTAAATAAATAAATTTTAAAATTAAAAAAAATTAAATTATTAAGGAAATACGTAAAACATACTTGCTCGGAAATATATTTTTTAAATTATGATACTTAAATTATTTTTAAATATAAACTTTTAAGTTAAAAAATAAATTCAAATATATATAATTTTTTTTAATTATAATAATAATATCAACTAAATTAATATCCAATTGATAATTAAATTAAATGACTCAAAGAAATAAATTGATATTAACCTTATGTTTTTAATTGTTTCTAGCCTATTTATACAAATTATTTCAACCCTTTATACCTTTAGTTTTAGCAGATTCATTCATAATCTAAATTATCCAATTTTTTTAAAGGAATCATATTTCTTGAATAGTTTGAAAAATATACAACCCATCGTGCACTAAGAACAATAATATTTTTAATCATTATGATTAATATTTATATTTTTAAATTTTTAGTCATTTAACTTTTATTTTTAGGATTTTATATTTAATTTTTTTTATTTTTGTATAGTTTAAGTTTAAAATTTAAAATATTAAAAAAAAAATCAAATATGCCCTTAAACTTTAAAAAAAAACTCAAATTGACCATTGGACTCGACTAAAAAAATAATTTAGCACATCCGCCACATTATATTCCATGTCATCAGCCATTGTGGTTCGTCACGTCAACACCGTGAAGTGTCAAGTCAGTACCGTAACGGTTAACGACGGAAACCGTTGTTCAAAGGACCAAATTGAATTTGTTTTTTTGTGTGAGGGCCAAATTAGATACAAAAAATTGACTAGAGCCACATTATTATTTATTTTTGGAAAAAGTGCGAGAACTTCACGTACCCTTTTATAAAAAATAAAAATACTTAAATTAAATTTGAATATAACTAAAAACTCAATCCTACCTAACCCAAATCCATATATTCATCAACTGAATGCATCATGATATGGTGTACAACTCAAGTTTATGCAAGTTTTAGTTAATAATCTAAGAATCCGATTAGGGATAGACATGACATGCAAGAGAAACGTGTAATTTCTTTTTATTTATATATTAAATGAACGTGTAAATCAGGAAAGTAAACCATATTGGAATAAGGAACATTTGCTGTCACAATCTTAGCGTAGAATTCAGATGATTTTATTATATAAAACAAAACAGAAGATAAAGCCGAGTTTGGTTCTGCTTTGTTAAGTTTAATTTCTTTAAAAATCTGTATCATTGTCTTTAATTAAAAATATTAATTTTTAATGATATCGACACGGTATTTCATATGATAATCCATATATATTTTATATATTTTTTTAAATATTTTTATAATTTTAACCATATTTGTTAATATGTAATATAAAACAAATAATATCTTCTCAGTATTGAATACATATAAAATATTATACAAAATATCACATTTAGGTGTAGAAATAAAAGATAAATTTGAGTTTTATTGTCATTCTAATACAAAATTAATTACACTATAGACGTGTTTAAAAAATAGTAGTAAACTTGGATAAACAATAATTAATCAATGATTTTTTCAATGGAAGTATTTATAACTCAATTAATACGTGAACCGTGGTATCAGGGTTACGATATCAACACTAATTAAAAGATAAAATTAATAAAACTAAATTATTTTGAAGATAAAATTGAGGTAACTAAAAAATAGAATAAAAATAAAAATAAAAATAAATATTAATTTAAATTTATTTAAAAGAAAAATAACCCTTAAGCATATTATATATTATATATCCACTACAATGTTTGATGGGAATGCTATTGGATAGTGAATTTTAAATTCTTCAGTTATATTCATCCTTTCGAACTTTTCTTATAGTTGACCGGAAGATCACAAAACAAGTGGAGGCCATTTGCAAAGGAACTCAATAACCGTCTTTAATTAGTTGTCGTATACAAGCATAACTAAACGTAGGGGTGTGTAATCCGGGTACCTGAATTTTTGGGTAATTGATTTTTTAGTCTGTATTTTGATCGGATGTTGCGTGTATCCAGTAATCGGGTATCTGAATTTTACGGGTACCCGGATACCCAATTTTTTCCCTTCAAATTATTAATTAAAAACACATAA